TTAGAGTTTAGGGTTCATCTGCAGCCGTGTCCAAGCCCACAAGCCTATGTTTTGCTTACTCCCCAGGGTTTTCCCCCCTAAGCCCCCCCGCTCCCCCCTAAGTCCCCCCTAAACCCCCTCTAAGCCCCCCCCACAAACCCTAAACCCTAAACCCTAAACCCGAAACCCTAAACCTAAACCCTCTTAGACACCAAGACCCTGAAAGGGTCACCAAAACACCGAAGCCATGGCCTTCACGGCGGATGGGGAGCCGGTGGCCTCGGAGTCCGATGCCTTCTACTTCCCCTGGTCAGGAGCGCCTTTTGTTTGGTTGGGTTTAGGGTTTAGGGTTTAGGGTTTAGGGTTTAGGGTTTAGGGTTTAGGGTTTAGGGTTTAGGGTTTATGGTTTGGGGTTTAGGGTTTAGGGTTTAGGGTTTAGGGTTTAGGGTTTAGGGTTTAGGGTTTAGGGTTTAGGGTTTAGGGTTTAGGGTTTAGGGTTTAGGGTTTAGGGTTTAGGGTTTAGGGTTTAGGGTTTAGGGTTCAGGGTTTAGGATTTAGGGTTTAGGGTTTAGGGTTTAACTAGGGAGCGTGATTTTAGCATCCTGCATGGTTCGTCTACTGGGTTCGAAGGAGATGTACTTGGAGGTTCATGCTACTTACTAACCAAGTATAACTGTACTTATAATTATACTCATAACCATATTAGGGCACTTAAGGGGCTAATAAGTGGGTTATAAGTACAGTTGTAATTGGTAAATAAGTACCATGAACCTCCAAGTAGAGAAAAGGAGGGGGTCGGGTTGTTTGGGCGAGAAGACTCTGACAGTCAGCACCTGAGGTTTCATGAGGCAGCGATCTGCTTTTTGAGACCTGAGCCGCAAGCCCTATAAACCCTAAGCCCTAAGCCCTAAACCCTAAACCCTAGTTTCTAGGCTTCCCAGCTATACACTTTTGCCCCGCACGTTGTTGTTTTCGAAGGCTTCTGTTCCCGAAACAACCCCATTAAGCACAAACAATGGCACCCTTGTGTTTGTTTGGTGGGCAACCTAGTTAGTTTATGGTTTTTTTGCTGAGGGGGGAGGGGTGAGTGGCTTTAGTTCAGATACGTGCCTTCGTCGAGTCATTGCGGTTGGTAATAATAAGCAATCGCAGCTACCCTGCCTGCCCTTAAACCCCAACTCATTTGGGCCACTTGGGAAGGAACCGATGTGTCGCGGAGGGAGATCTCTTGCATACTTCCTGGCCAGTGCCTGGGCTTCTATAGGGTCTCTGAGTAGCTGAGTGAGTACACTTTGCACTTTTTGGGATACTATACCCCCCTATAGGGCTGGCAGTGTACACTTTTTTGGGGGCTTATGAACTCAGCAACTAAGGGTCGGGAGTTAGAGGGTACAGGCTTCGTAGGGTTTAGGGTTTCAGGGGAAACCCACGAGTTCGGTGGAGGGAAAATACGGAGATAATTGTAGAAGCTTTCATCTCTCCGTTTAGGGTCGAGGTTTCTGGAGCATAAGGTTTCGGGCTTAGGGTTCGGCTTCTAAAGCCTTTCTGCAAACTAAGCCATAACACCCTGAGCCCTACCCCTAAGCCCTAAGCCCTAGCGAACATGAAACCCGAAAGCCTAAAGCCTAAACCCTAAGTCCTAAACCCTAAACCCTAACCCCTAAACCCTAAACCCTAAACCCTAAACCCCAAACCCACAAGAGCATGAGCCACAAGAAGAGGCTTTACCTCACCAACTGCCGTGGCGTGGAGGACTTGTCGGCTCTGCAGGACCCCTGTGGGCTCCCGTTCTGAAGGCAAACGAAGCGGTTTAGGGTTTAGGGTTTAGGGTTTAGGGTTTAGGGTTTAGGGTTTAGGGTTTAGGGTGTAGGGTTTAAGTTTCGGCTTTAGGGTTTAGGGTTTAGGGGTTAGGGTTTATATAATTCGGGTTTAGGATGTAGTTTTGTATAGGATATAGATAGGGTTTTGGAGATTAAGAACCGAAAATCAGGGCAGCAGTAACAGTAGCGAGGATCCTGATAGAATGATTAACGAGGATAGTGATGATGACGACAACGACGATCATGTCAATGACCCTACACCCTAAACCCTAAACCCTAAACCCTAAAACCTAAACCCTAAAAGGGTTAAGGGGGTTACTCGGAACCAGAGTAGGCCCTCATTCCCCTTTTTTCAGGGTGTAGGTTCCCATGCAATACCAGCCCTAAGCCCTAAGCCCTAAGCCCTAAGCCCTCAGCCCTAAGCCCGAAGCCCTAAGCCCTAAGCCCTAAGCCCTAAGCCCTAAGCTCTAAGCCCTAAGCCCTAAGCCCTAAGCCCTAAGCCCTAAGCCCTAATAAGCCCTAAGCCCTAAGCCCTAAGCCCTGAGCCCTGAGCCCTGAGCCCTGAGCCCTGAAGCCCTAAGGCCCGAGCCCTGAGCCCTAAGCCCCAAGCCCTGAGCCCTGAGCCCTGAGCCCTGAGCCCTAGCCCTAAGCCCCAAGCCCTAAGCCCTAAGCCCTAAGCCCTAAGCCCTAAGCCCTAAGCCCTAAGCCCTAAGCCCTAAGCCCTAAGCCCTAAGCCCTGAGCCCTAACCCCTGAGCCCTGAGCCCTGAGCCCTGAGCCCTGAGCCCTGAGCCCTAGCCCTAAGCCCTAAGCCTGAGCCCTGAGCCCTGAGCCCTGAGCCCTGAGCCCTAGCCCTAAGCCCGAAGGCCTAAGCCCTGAGCCCTTCGCCCTAAGCCTAAACCCGAACCAGCAGCCGCCCAGGAGCTGGGCATAACTCACGTCCTGTGCATCAATGAGCAGGACGCTGTTTTAATTCGAAGCGTTGTGAAGTGCTAGGTTCGGTTTAGGGTTTAGGGTTTAGGGTTTAGGGTTTCGGGTTTAGGGTTTAGGGTTTAGGGTTTCAGGGTTTAGGGTTTTTGGGCTTAGGGGGCGGGGCCTTTGCGTTCTACACCCTGGCCTCCGACCCCAGGCCCCCCAGAGCTATCGTGCTGAGCAAGCCTAGGCAGGGTGCTTCAGTTCAGGGTTGCAGTTGAAGGGTTCTTGGTAGCCCAGTGGTACCCTTTGCCCTTTTTTGGTGTTGTGGGTTTAGGGTTTAGGGTTTAGGGTTTGGGGTTTAGGGTTTAGGGTTTAGGGTTTGGGGTCTAGGGTTCCCTTATAAAGATTTATAAAGTAGCCAACCCAACAAGGGTGCCCTTAGCAAAAGATGGTTACTGGGCTACCAAGGGTTAGAGTTCAGAAACTTGAAGGCTGCTTGTGCGACCTCCGCACACTCCTGCCAAACTATGACGGCAGAGGGGTTAAAGAACACATGGCATGAAGCAACACTCCCTGAGCAGTGCAAGCTCAGATGCAAGCATAGCTTGCAGACGCAGCCGGCAACTGCACCACTTGAGGAACGAAGGACTGGAACAAGGAAGGGTGCACACCCAGAAGGAAAACGCGAAGGCCAGAGAAAGACATCGGAACCCTAAACCCTAAACCCTAAACCCTAAACCCTAAACCCTAAACCCTAAACCCTAAACCCTAAACCCTAAACCCTGAACCCTGAACCCTGACCCTGAACCTTAAACCCTAAACCCTAAACCCTAAACCCTAAACCCTAAACCCTAAACCCTAAACCCTAAACCCTAAACCCTAAACCCTAAACCCTAAACCCTAAACCCTAACCCTAAGGATTTAGATTTCGACTCTTCCGATGATGGCTTCCGTTCTGGCCTTGCTGATCCAGCGGAACTACGTCCTGCTCCTACTGCCTCCTGTCCGCCTCCGCTTGGGTACGCCAAGCCGCCGCTTTTTTGCCCCGTCACACCGACTCCATAGTCTTACACTCTTGCACTAAGGCCGCTAAGGAGTCGTTGCTGAAGCGCTGTTCGTACACACTTTCGCACAGCGGAGTTACGGTCTGCAGCGCAGGGGCTCTCTTAGACCATAGGGCTGCTACAACAGCACCAACACAACAAACGCTGAAATAGAGAGGGTCGTGGATTTTTTCAACTGACCTGCTTGCACCACATCGCACCTTCACGAACCAGAGGATGAGAAAAAGAGGATTTCACGCCCATGACTGGGTCCTTGTCTTGGTAGCCCAGCAGTCCCCTGTACCCCTATTCTGGTTCAAGGTCCCCTTGGAAAGTTGCCAACCCCAAAAAGGGTGCCCTTGTGATAGTATGGTTGCTGGGCTACCAAGTTGTTAAGGCACGCAAAGTAGCTTACTATAACGGGGCAAAACAGTGAACAGCATCGCCTCCTTGTTCTGGCAACTAAACTTGAAGTTCTCTAACAAGAAGGCCAGATTTTGAGCGCGATTTCGGGCCCTGGGGTTTGCGGCTTTAGGGTTTAGGGTTGAGGGTTTAGGGTTTGCAGGAGAACCTGTTTCCTGACAAGTTGGTCTACTATAACGTCTCCGATGTCACGGATGACCCAGAAATGGCGGAGGCTCTCAAGGAAGCTCGGATTCTGCAGCTTGCGAGGCTGTTGTGTGTGGGTTCAGACTTTGTGGTTGTAAAAGGTCGCCTTTTCGTGTTTCAGATTCAGGCCAAGTTCACCGACGCCTTCGACTTCATCGATGCCGCTAGCGCAGCAGGCAGGGGGAAAGATTTTCGGGTTTCCAGGTTATAGGGGTTTAGGGTAAATCCCAAACCCGAAACCCTAAACCCTAAATCCTAAACCCTGAACCCAAAAACCAGCGCGGGCTCCCTCGCCATCGCTTCAAGAAGGCCGCTGCGTCGTGCACTGCGCAGCTGGCATCTCGCGCTCCAGCACGCCGCCCGGGCTTAGGGTTTAGGGTTTGGGGGTTTAGGGTTTAGGGTTTAGGGATTAGGGTTTAGGGATTAGGGTTTAGGGTTTTGGGTTTGGGTTTTGGGTTCAGGTTTTGGGGTTTAAGTGCCCAGACACAATCGCCCCTCATTTTGCGGTTTGAAAATTAAGCCGCCGAGAGGTTCTCAGCCCCTCTTGGCGCCACATCCCTAAACCCTAAACTCTTTCAACCCTAAACCCTAAACCCAAAACCCAAAACCCAACAGTAGCTTTCCGGGTGACTTTTTCTGTCTGAGCAGAGAGGGGCGTAGAGGGCTTAGAGTTTAGGGTTTAGGGGTTGGGGGTTTAGGGTTTAGGGTTTGGGGTTGAAGGGGTTAGGGTTGAAGGGAGCCAGGGTGTAGGGTGTTGGGTCTTGGGGCCGGGTTTAGGTTCCCACTCCCTAAACTCTAAACCCTACACCCTACACCCTAAACCCTAAACCCCAAACCCCAAACCCTAAACCTTTGGACACCCGGGGTCTCAGCTAAGGCTGGTCCTTGGCTACTTGATTGCCAGGCCGATGGGCTTGCTCAGACGGGGCTTGTGGGGAGGCCCCCAAAAACCTTGAAACCCTTAAGCCCGCCCCGAGACTCCTAGACTTCTACCCCCCCCCCCCCCCATACCCCTAAACCTGCAAGCCCTAAGCCCTGAACCGCTAAACCCCCAAACCCTAAACCCTAACGCCCCCACAACCCCCAAAATCCGCACAAAGCCCTAAACCCCCTTAAACCTGCTACACCCCCGAACCCCCTTAAGCCCCCTATGGACCCCCTAAAGCCCCCTGCACCCCCTAAACCCCCCCCCCCCAACCGCAATCCACCTCCCAACTTCTTTGCCCCCCTGCGCAGGAAGGGGATGACGCTGAGGCTCGGGCTGTGCCAAACAAGTTCCGAAGCCCTCAAAGCCCTCCGTACTCCGCTAAACTCCTAGCCCTAAACCCTACACTCTAAACCCGAAACCCCAAACCCTAAACCCTAAACCCTAAACCCTAAACCCTAAACCCTAAACCCTAAACCCCACCCCTCCAGTTCCCCTGAGGCAGGCCTTCGTTCACACCATCTGCCGGCGCCGGGCACCTTGCCTAGGTTTAGGGTTTAGGGTTTAGGGTTTAGGGTTCAGGGTTTAGGGTTTAGGGTTTAGGGTTCGGTTCATGGTGGCTTTCTGGAGCAGCTTACGGCCCCCTAAGGGTCGCCTGTGAGGCCTCTAAAGCGCGCCCGAAGGTCACATCCGGCTTACATACCCTCCTAGGATGCCCAGTAGTACCCTTATTCCCTTTTTGGTAGGTTTAGGTTCCCTTATAAACCGCTTTAAGCAAAAAAGGGCACCCTTTTTCATCCTAGGTTACGGGGCAAACCTAGCCTCAAAATCCTCATGAGAGGGACCCTGGAAAGGGTACTCCTATTCTGAAGACTCCCAGAGTGTGTTTCTGTAGTCTTGGTTTATAGTGCTTCAGATGTACGTTGTGGGTCCATGAAGCCCTAAGCCCTGAACCCCTGAAGTCCCTTAAGCCCTAAACCTAAATTCCCCAAACTGTAAATTGTTATGAAAAAGAAACTCCCCGGACCTGAACCCTTTATGAAATCCTAAGCCCTAAACCCTAAATCTTAAACCCTCAACCCTAAACTCTAAACCCTAAACCCGAAACCCGGAACCCGAAACCCGAAACCCTAGACCCTAGACCCTAAACCCTAGACCCTAAACCCCAAACCCTAAACCCTAAACCCCAAACCCCAAACCCCAAACCTCAAACCCTAAACCCTAAACCCTAAACCCTAAACCCTACCCGAAGTCAGCCTCGGAGGTCATCTGGCCGAACGACGGCTTCTGGGAGCGGCTGGTGGAGCTGGAGCGGGAGGCAACCCACCGAATCGACTCCGCTTTTGGGGTTTAGGGTTTAGGGTTGAGGGCGAGTTCTGGGTTGAGGGTTTAGGGTTCACAGTTTGGGTTTAGGGCGTAGGGTTGCTTAGATCCAGAGTAGCATCTTGTCTTGAAGAGTTGCCACGTGTTCGCAGCAGCGCTTCTCCTCATGTTGCGACTAGGAACATGTGAGGCCTAAACCCTCAACCCCAAACGCCTAGACCTTCAATTCCTAAGCCCTACACCCCTAAACCCTTAAACCCCTAAACCCTTAAACCCCTAAACCCCTAAACCCTTAAACCCCTAAACCCTTAAACCCCTAAACCCCTACACCCCTGAACCCCTAAACCCCTAAAGCCCTAAACCCTAAACCCCTAAACCCCTAACCCCTAAACCCTAGACCCTAAACCCTAAACCCTAAACCCTAAACCATGCTGGTGGAGGCCTTGCATCTGGAGGCGCCCTCGCTGCCCCTGCCTCTCTACCAGCAGTGGGCGGAGATGACGGAGGAGGAGCCCATGGTTAAAGTCTTCTATAAGGCCCTGTAAAGGGGTTTAGGGTTTGGGGTTTAGGGTTTAGGGTTTAGTAATTTAGGGTTTGGGGTTTAGGGTTTAGGGTTTAGTAATTTAGGGTTTGGGTTTAGGGCTCCTAAGACCCCGCCAAATGTTCAGATGCCTCAAGCCCCCAAACCCTGAAATCGGCAAACCGGGGTCTGGGTTTAGGCCGAATAACTGTAAACCCTAAACCCTAAACCCCAAACCCAAACCCCAAACCCCAAACCCCTAACCCCTAACACCTAACCCCTAAACCCTTAACCCTTACCCCTTAACCCTAAACCCTAAACCCGAGGATCACCGCAAGGCTGCGACCACATTGGATCGCGGGCCGTGAGCCCCTGCAATGCGTGGGAAAAAGCTGGGCCGGGGCCGCAAGCCCTCCTGAAACCCTCTTAAGGACTGTTAGTATACCCTAAACCCTAAGCCCTAGACCCTAAACCCTGAACCCCAAGCCCTAAACAACCTAAACCCCTAAACGCCCCCCCCAACCTTCATAAGGCCCAGAATTTGGTACACCTAACACCTGGAACTCTTGAGGGATGCTATTGGGAAACTCCCCTCCCCCCCACCTGATACAACGGTTCGACGTACCTTCTACGAGGTAGGGCCAGATAGCGTTGAATGGTGCTGTTCTTGGCGGGTAAGTGTATATATTGTGTGACCTTTATTTGTCCCTTTGTGCCCACAGTCATCCATGGAACCTCCTGCGCCCCTAACAAAGGTCCCCTCAAAACCTTCATGTCGAGGAAGCTACATTACCATAGAAGGCTGCCACATTCTTTGTTCTCTCGCTCTCTCTTGCTCTCTTTGCCTCCCTCCCTCTATGATATATATATATAACCCGATCACGGCAGCTTGTGTACTTGAAGTTCCTTAACCGGAACCCAGAAGCATGGTGCTGGTTTAGGGTGCTGTTCTTGCAGTCCCTAGATGCCCAAGTGGCACCACTAGAAGCGTCCCTCCCCATTTCGTCCCTTCAAACCTCTCCTTTCCCCCCCACCCCCTCCCTAGGGTTTAGGGCTTAGGGTTTCGGGTTCAGGGTTTAGGGTTTCGGTTTTAAAGGGTCCCCTTGGGGTAAACCTCTCGGCCCCCTGCCAGGCCGATGCTCGTGGCCTTTGTCACTCTGGAGGCGTGGAATTCGGGAGTGTTTGAATGCTTGGAGGTTCGGGATTAGAGTACCCGCTATTGTAATCCATATTAAGGATTGTTAGTATAAGGGGGAACATCCCAACCCTAAACCCTGCTTGGAGGTTCATGGGAACTTATAAGCCCAATTATCACTGCACTTATAAACCCCCTATGTCCAATAGGTAGGTTACAAGTAGATTTATAGGTGGGGTCATAAGTACCCATGAAACTCCAAGTGTTCTTTCCGCGGCTATCTCTGTAGAGGGCCCCGGAACCCCGAAACTCTCTGTCCACAAACCCTAGACCCTGAACCCTAAACTCTAAACCCTAACCGTAAGTCCTATACCCTACACCCTACACCCTACACCGTACACCCTAAACCCTAAACCCTAAGCCCTAAACCCTAAACCCTAAACCCTAAACCTTAAACCCTAAACCCTCAACCCTAAACCCTAAACTCCCTAAACTCCCTAAACTCCCTAAACTGCCTAAACTCCCTAAACTCCCTAAACTCCCTAAACTCCCTAAACTCCCTAAACTCCCTAAACTCCCTAAACTCCCTAAACTCCCTAAACTCCCTAAACTCCCTAAACTCCCTAAACTCCCTAAACTCCCTAAACTCCCTAAACTACCTAAACTCCCTATACTCCCTAAACTCCCTAAACCCTTCCCCCCCTCCAAATTTGCGCCGCGAGCGCCTCAGGGCTCTGAGCCCAGCCCCCCAGCTGCGGCTGCGCGGAGCTGCGCCGCGCACTCGGAGGGTTTCGGGGTTGGGGTTTAGGGTTTAGGGTTTAGGGTTTAGGTTTTAGGGTTTAGGGTTGAGGGTTGAGGGTTTAGGGTTTTTCACGGGGTTGTGGGTTTAAGACGTAGGGATTGGGGTTTGGTCAGTTATGAGTTCGGGGTTTGGATACGATTCTGCTGGCGGTTTGTACCTGCTAAGTATTTTTTTGTTTGTTTGTGTGTGTGTGTGTGCGCGCGTGTGCGTGCGTGTGTTTGTGTGTGGTGTGAGGGTTTGGGGGTTACAGGTCGGGCTTGGGATCACTGAAGCGCCCACCAGGCTTGGGTTTGTGTCTTTATTTTTTTGTGTGAGGGGGCGGGGGGGGGTTGGGGGGCTGAGGGAGTTTGGGTTTGGGGGCAGATGCTGCAGCAGATGCATCGGTGACAGCTTCTGCGTTCGCAGAAGAGAACCGAAGGAGAAGAACTTCCATGAAGGAGTTCTGCTGGTCTTCTTACAAGTCTCGCTTATAAGCATAATTATGCATTCTTCACGAAGTGCTGACTCCAATGCAGTCATCTGTCTTGGCCATCTCAAGCAACGCGCTTCGTAACGCGAGGGAGCAGCTGGAGCTGCTCTAGGTCAGCCGCGCTCGTACGTTGTTGTTGAAGCAGCAAGAGGATCCCAAGTTCGGAGGTGTTAGGATGCCTTGCTTGACAGGGTTTTGGGTTTAGGGTTTAGGGTTTAGGGTTTAGGGTTTAGGGTTTAGGGTTGAGGGTTTAGGGCTTCCACAGGCCAGCCATCGGTGTCAATGCGCCTCTGGCGCCCCCCAAGTCGTTCAGTAAAGGGCCAAAGTACACGCGGACGTAAGTCACGCCATTCTTGAACGGTAAACCCTAAACCTTAAACCCCACAACCCCAAGCCCCCTAAACCCTAAACCCTAAACCCTAAACCCTAAACCCTAAACCCTAAACCCTAAACCCTAAACCCTAAACCCTAAACCCTAAACCCTAAACCCTAAACCCTAAACCCTAAACCCTAAACCCTAAACCGTTACACTTCACCGCTTCTTATAACCAGGCGCAGAGTCGCTTCTTCTTCGTGGAGGAGTCGAGGGGCAAGGGGTCAGAGCCCCAGAGCAGCAGAGGACCACTGAAATCGCAGGAATGAACATGATGAGGTGAAGGGTTTAGGGTTTAGGGTTTAGGGTTTGGGGTTTGGGGTTTGGGGTTTGGGGTTTAAGGTTTAGGGTTTAGGGTTTAGGGTTGAGGGTTGAGGGTTGAGGGTTTTGGGTTTAGGGTTTAGGGTTTAAGGCTAGGGTTTAGGCAGCAATACACAGGAGCAGCAACACAGGCGCAAAAGCAGTGACAATACCAAGAGCAGAAATAGCAATCATAACAATAGCAATGACAATAGCAAATAACAGCGACGCGCAAACATCAGTAATGCTGACGGCTAACGAAGCATAACAACTGCAAGATGCTAGCATGAAGCACGTGAACAGTAAGAACAACGATGCAAGTGACAATGCTCATCAAGAGCGCATACTACGAGCACGCTCACTAGCGTATTTCATGAGGCGCAGAGCTGGTTGTCATTGCTGCCGTTCCTGCCTCTTCGCTTATCGGCAAGCCCTAAACACTAAACCCTAAACCCTAAACCCCGATTCCCTGATCCTCGGCTAAGAACAAGGAGCCGAACCTTCTGTGGAATAGCCTTCTGTGGAAGGGGACTAGAGGCGACGATGTCGGGGCGAATTTATTGCTCAAGACCCTAGCTCCCTATACCATAAGCCCCTAAACCCTAAACCCTAAACCCTAAACCCTAAGCCCTAAGCCCTAAACCCTAAACCGTAAACCCTAAACCCTAAACCCTAAGCCCTAAGCCCTAAACCCTAAACCCTAAACCCTAAACCCTAAACCCTAAACCCTAAACCCTAAACCCTAAACCCTAAACCCTAAACCCAACCCTAAACCCTAAACCTCAACCAACCCCAAACCCTAAACCCCAAACCCCAAACCCTAAACCTTAAACCCCAAACCCGAAACCCCAAACCCTAGACCCGAAACCCTAAACCCCACACCCTAAACCCTATACCCTAAAAAAACCCCAGACCCTAAACCCTAAACCGTGAACCTCCAAGTAAACCTCCCAGCTCGCCGCGCCGCGCCGTGCTGGGCGCGGTCCTCCGGCGCAGCGCGTGGGCGGAGGCGTTAAGGTTTAGGGTTTAGGGTTTGTGGTTTAGGGTTTAGGGTTTGGGGTTTAGGGTTTAAAGTTTAGGGTTTGAGGGAGTTTGGAGTTTAAGCTCAGGGTTTAGGGATTGAGTTTGGGGCGCGGTGTTTGCAAATGTCACAGCTGCTCAGGGTTAGGGTTTATGGGGCTCACAGGGTTCCGGGTCTTTGAAAACCCTAAACCCTAAACCCTAAACCCCTTGCCTCCTAAACGACCTGCAGGCCCCTAAACCCCGAACTGTAGAACCCCCCCCCCCTCAAAGGCGCTAAAGCCTCAACCCTAAGCTACTTGGAGAGGTTCATGGTACTTATTAACCAACTATAACTGTACTTATAACCCACTTGTAAGCCCCTTAAGTGCCCTAAATATAGTCATAAGTACAGTTATAAGTACAGTTATAACTAGTTAGTAAGTACCATGAACCTCCATGTACTCTACGCCCTCTGGAAAGCCGGCCAGAAGGCCTCCAGCGCCTCACGCTACTCAACCCTAAGCTCCAACACCCGCAGCCCTCAACCTTCAAAACCTAAAGCCCTAAAACCTTCAAACCCCAAACGCCTGAAATCTTCAAACCCCCAACCCTGAAGCCCTAAACCCCTCAAACCCTAGAGCCGAAAAGCCTTCAAACCCTAAGCGCCTAAAACCTTCAAACCCTCAAACCCCTCAAACTCTAAAGCCCTAGAGCCCTAAAACCCTAAAACCCCAAAACCCAAGAGTCAGAGAACCCACGCGCGTGCCCCGCGCCGCCTTCTCCTGGCTCCAGCACTTCCGCTGCGGGGCTTCGGGGATCGGGGACGGTAGTCCCCAAACCCCAAGCCCTAAACCGTAAACCCTAAACCCTACCCTAAACCCTAAACCCTAAACCCTAAACCCTAAACCCTAAACCCTAAACCCTAAACCCTAAACCCTAAACCCTAAACCCTAAACCCTAAACCCTAAACCCTAAACCCTAAACGGGTCGCGGAAGTTTGGGCTGATTGCGGCCTTGGCCCAACAGCTCACCAGCGCACACTAAACCCACCTAAGACCCAAACCCTTGTGGTGCTTTTGTTTTCTTTGTTTTGGGGTGGGGGGCATGTAGGGTTTAGGGTCCAGGATTTAGGGTTTCGGCTTTCGGGTTCAAGCCAAACCCGAATGAAGAAGGGGCGGTTCCAAGCGAAGCCCTATAAGCCAACCCCTGCAACCCTTGTCTTATCTCACCCCGGTTGGGCCAACCCCTCAACCCTCAACCCTCAACCCTCAACCCTCAACCCTCAAC